GAGTCATACGAATAAATTCGTGTAAGCGCATTTTCATACTTCACAAGCTTGTTGTTGTGATACCAAATGATCTATGTAAGAATCTCGATGTATCTTCATTTCAGCCAAATTGTAATCATTGTAATTACTAAATTATTTTATGTATTCATAGAATAAATGAGTGAGTAACATTTAACACGGAAGATAAGTTAATAGAACTGAAGAAAGACAGAAATTCCTAAGTGGTTCCTATTTCACAAAAATCGATGCATAAAACATTTATTTTGCATAAAGACCCGCAGAGTCTAGTAATCACCAATGAAGAAATTTCGCATACCATCCTACTGTAGATAAAAACTGTGTTAATAAACAAAGCGAACTAACACAATTTATATAACTTAATAAAGGGCACTATTATATCCTATAAAGAGTATTAAATGAGTTAGTTCCACTTTTCCACTTAAAAAAAAATATATTTTGTAAAATCGATATTCGCCAAAGACAAGCATATTGCCCTCTTATATTATCAGGAGGACGCAATTTTCTTTTACAGTCAAAAATTCAACGAAAAAATTATATAATCATGAAGAATAAAAAAGAAAGGAAGCTGGTAAATTTGCATGGAACTGGATGTGTTATCCGGGTTTGAAAAACCGGTGAAAGTTGCGCTGGAAATGTTACCGAGTTCGAGCGCGACGCCATCCTCCGGTTATACGAGCAACCGTCTCGTTCGACTGGAATTCCAGCGAACCAGAGACGAGTTTATCAACGGGTTCGTGTCCACGCTGAATGGTATCTTGAACCACCGAAACGTAAACGCCGTGGAACCTGTTGCGCCCGCGGCTTTCGCTATTTGCACACCGTCGCTGTTTGACGCTTGGTCGAAGTTAGGGGTGTACTCCTCTTACCCAGAACTTTCGACTTGCTCGAATACCGCGATACTCGGTGCTGGTGATAGCTACTTAAACCACCTGCCGTTTAGTTTCCAAATTGTGCCTTAAAGCCAACTAGAAATAGGTCACTTTCGAGTCGCAAAAACCATTATCTTATCGAGTTTCATAATCTTATTGCCGTCAGAATCGATCGCCCTTGAGTTACGATAATCGATATATTATTTATCCTTGCCATAGTTTGATCCATCATGAAGCTTTCTAATGGTAACTTGTTAAGTATGAATGTTATATCGTTTTTTTAAGTGAGAATAAAATTCTCTTCTCTTGTCACTAATATTTAAGTATTCAAATAAATGTTTACACATAGTAAATATAAATCCTCACTTTGAAAAAAAAAATTGTTATAATTGAAGAAGTTCTAATCATTGTCATTGTAAAGAAAATACTACGACAAGGCGTTAAAGTAACCAGAAAGTAATCCGTGAGTTGCCGTTTGGAGCTATCTCTATGCATTTGAAACCGATGCGTAAAGCGTGGAAGAAAGTTTCCGCGTATAATCGCCAAGCGGTCCCTTTCCGCTTGTTAAATAAATCTGGAATGCAACGAACTTTAATAACCTCTGCATAACTCCATTAATTTGGAATCAAAGTTTTATGAAATTTAAAAGACCTCCGTGCGCCCCCGCCACTTTGTGATTCTCCGTCTGCACATTCACGAATTCTTAAGTAGGTACGGCATGCTTTGGTCAGACACGATCGACTTATTTCACTGACTCGTAAAGTTTTTCATAAGGATTTTTAAAATTCAAATTTCTCACCATTGGTTCACATTATTTCATGTACAGTAAGCTACTTTCCGAACGATATAATTTGCATCTTATCTTCAAAATTTATTGTACATTCCTTCATTTTAGTATTATGTTAGTCGTTTCATTCGATATTACAATTCACAAAATTTCTGTATACTTCAAACTAAGTGAGACAGTAATTAGTTTTGAAGATTCGAGAAAGAGGTTTAATAGTTTCTACCGTATTTCCCTTCAGTTTTTCTCTTTGCAGTTACCTTAATGCTGCCGGGGAACAATAATGACTTTCCAAGTAACATCGAAAGGAAATTCAATTTCTCAAAGTTGCATACCTCGACGGTGACTGGCGATGGAGAGCGGAGCGGGTTGCAACTTTTACTTGAAGTTTGTATTAACTGCTGTGGATCACCTACTCGCTATGCATCAATTATCCCGGCTTTTTTCGCGTAACAAATTCAAATTAGATCTCCGCTCTCGTCTGTGTATTTCCAGTTGTTAAATATTTAGTGAAAAACACCCTCGCGACTGTAAATAATGCAGCTTCGGTGAGATGAGAGTTCTACGGTAAATATGTATTAGCTGGCGACGAAGATTAATAAAGCGGTTCGGTAGTTTATGGAAGTTCCGACGAGTTCAAGGGAAATTTCGAAATTTTATACGCGCGTCTATATAAGTTTTATCGTTAAGCCGAACAGTTCGTTTCACGACTTCTGCAGGGTCAGAAATGTCCGTTGCAATTCTGTTATTAAGAAAAATAACTTATACACGTTCTAATGTGAGCACTTTAGTTAACTCTTAAAATTTGCTCGCAAATATAGAAATATAAATAGATATGATTAAACAATAACTACGGTAGAAATAGCGACCAAATAAATTCATTCTAGTATTATTGATCGTCTACAACAATGTACCGAAAATAATAGACATCATTTTAAACATTTGCTAAAATAAATTTTCGTTACCTATATTCAGACTTTGTGATAACGTCTTTCTTCATTTATTAAGAAAATGAGGTGTAGGAATTTTATTTGGCTAAATATTCAATACTCTTTGTTTCCTAATTGTTTTAGAAGACAAAAGAGCGATGTCATAATGAATTTATTTTATCATTGTCTCTATCACATCTTTTTCTTAATTACATCTGTTTTCATTTTCTTTCGACGCTCCTGTACAATCCTATCTAAATGAACATAGATGACTTCGCATGATCTCTTCTAACTTTTTCTGTCGTCAATAATACGTGAGAAATCTAGAATACTCAAGATAAACGGGACAGTCCATGTAAAAATGCAGTTTCCACTTTTCATTATAATCGACACACTAGACTATCGCAATAGTAACTTGGTTGAAATATTAAGAATACTTGCAACACGGTATCTATCGATACTCAGAAATAAGAAAACGAAGTATATCAGTTTTACACGAGTACTTATTGCTTTTACGATGGAAGCTTGGGAAACTGATTACTGAAAATGTAAAGCTCCAAGAACGTTCTTGGGCAACGGCGCGTCGCTAGGGTTGAGCCATACGAAAGTCTACCAGTTATTACCCATTTTACTACCCATCCCCCTGACAAACAGGGAACACGTGTCGTAAACTCGTAGGAGTTCCTTGCAACTTTCTCTGCGTACCAACTACAGGCTCATGACGGGCGCTCTATTACGCTGTAATAAATTTCGGAAAACGAGTTTGCGTAGTTACTCATATCTTCCGCGATGCTTCCTACCATCAGATAAAGTATATTGAACTCGCGAGTAATTTTAAATGGATGAGGCGAGAAGAATATTAGGATATAATCGTCAAGAAGACGAACCGCTGAGAAAATGGCTTCCCTTAAAACTGACGAAGCGTATATACTCTTCTACGAGCATTTTATGGATGCTATCTTTTTTGTATGAGTTTTAGGTTAAATCGTTAAACTACTTCATTTATTTTTGTGTGAATATGTGTAATATAAACTCCAAATAAGGATTAGAGCTAATATTATTAATTATTAATTTCCATTTATACTATTAATTGTGTACAATGAAAAATTCAATAAGACCATTAAGGAATTTCAGGAATGTGTTTAATTTGTATATACTTATATTAGTATGCAAAAACTATCGTATATAAATATATACAATACTAAGTATATACTAAATATGTGAGCGAGAGTTTTGAAAATGGTTGAATTATTAGCCAATTTAAGAGCTTTTAAATTTAGTTTATCACGATCTAATACACGTGACTGTACATTTTATATGGAGATCCTTGTATGAACAGTAAAAGTAGCCTGAAACTATTGGGTCCATCTGAAAGTTCTTTTCGCCGTCGATAATCCGATCATCCACATGATCCGAAATTGTTTCCTAAGCCACATTTAATATCCTCTTTTTATCGATATTGAACACAAGAGTAAATCTGACTTCAAACAGAAACTCATCATAGACTTTATATGGTCTTTTCAAATAAAGTTCAACTTCATAGTATTTGGTAACCATTGTTTATGCAATTTTTACGCAACAGCACTTTTATCAAATACGATTTTTCTTTACTTTCACTGTGGTCTCGTCAACTAACTGACATTTTCATCGTATAATATATACTACAGATTATAGCTAAAGTGTATCCAATACGGTGTAAATTACCAAAGAGTACAGACATGAACATTTATCACTTTATTACAACATTACCCCGACTAATTCCTGATCTTTCCGGTAATTATTTATGTGATAATAAAAATATCAATATTTAAAGTAATGTTAAGATAATGTTAACTTAAGTATACTTTTTATTCCCAACTTTAAGGCAATTTTCACCTGCTCAACATGAATGATATGGCCCCGATATAAAAAAAAAAATGTGTCAAATACCGTTCCCAAAACTATGTACCTACCTCTCACAGAATATCTATTATATTTAAAACTTTGTTTTTATAAAATAATATAGAATTTAATTTTATGTATTTGTTATTTTTCCGTCGTACCAGATTCTCTTCACCCGCTGTATTTAATGGTAAACCAAATTAAAGATTTCGTGCATACTTTCAGAAACAAAACATAAACCTTTAAGATCTGACGTCGTGGTTTACCGTACAATACTTTCTAAATTTGAAATTCGTCAAATTGACGGGTACCGTAAACCTACTGTCAAAGCACTACTTTAATGTTGATGGTTCCCACTCGTCGGAAGTACGCGCGGAGCGACTGAAACAGAAAAGGGTTAAAGGACTGTGGAGTTCGGAGCACGTGGTAACGCGCACACGCAGTGACACCAGGAGCACGTGGCCGGCTCGAGCCGCGAGTCGGTAGGTCTCGGGTGGTTTCGCGAGTCGGCGAGCAAAGGACCGGCAGCAGTCGCGCGCCGGCCGCTGCCTCGAGAAGGTGTTTGTGTTTTTGTTGTCGCGATGAAAATTTGGCCGCCGTAGAGGTTATGTTTACGCGTGTCGCGGGAACCGGACCGACCACGCATGCTTTTTTGTGCTTAAGTATTTCCCCGAAATTGGACGCATCGCCGCGTGTCCATCAATAAATCATCCTCCAGCGACAGAGCGCTCCGCGGTTCGTGAGACAGCTTTGTGACGTGCGACGATCGCCACATACCACTGTAAGTACAGTACAGAATTCATTTCGTTCTTTTAAATAACATTCAAAACTTTTCAAACACAACGAACTAAATTTGTTAGTCATACGCAACACTGTTGGTGTGTTTTTATTGTAAATCAAACATGGCGGTTGTTTTACGGATCCAACAATATAGTGGTAACCTTTAAATACACTCTTCTAGATCGTGTTTATCGAAACGATTATAAAATGAGGGAATTGAATTAAAATGTGCACGTCTTATTTAGCGTTTTTATTTCAAACATCGTTCTAGTATACTACTCTTGTATGATCATGAGGTAAGAGTTTTTTTACCAGACAAGTAACGTCTGTACTCGATCTTGTGAATTCTGATACATTTTATAACCTACTTTTTCTGTATAATTTCTATAAAGCTTATTATCTTTTGTTTTGACATCTACCAATTGCGTTGGCTCATCGACTATTCAAGGTTCTGACAATCTCGAAAATTATCGTCTTGACAACTCGATATATATATTGCTACACGTGTTACGCAGAACTTAAGGCGCACAGGATCAGTGTCGCTTCGCGCACCATAGCCACATCTTAACCGCGGTTTGTGTCACACGTTGCACACGCGAGGGTTCACTCTAATGTCGAAGCACTTTATCACCCGTACTGTTTCGTATCGAGTTGTCAATAATTTTTGTTACTTAATATTTCACTTTGGAAGTACCGAAACCGCATCGATCTAAAAAGGAAACGGAGGAAAAAATTGGATTCATAGATCGATTGACTATAAGAACGCGATATGGCCGATTGGATCGCATAAATCACTGAAAATGGATGTGCCTCACGGTCTGTCCGCCAATAACGGTAATCAGGGAAGAAGACCGTGATGCTCTCTGTCGCTATATTTCTTCGCAGAGGGAAAAGCAAAAAAACATCCTACGATATTTCTTTCCACGCGACTTCGTTTCACGCTCGGAGCGAATTCATTTTCCCGCGGTTCCACAACGGAACGCGGGATTCGAGAGGTCGTATATAACGGGCGCGAATGCAACCGGAACAATGGCGCAAGTTTTAATATCGTTCGACCGCTCATAACCGCGGCTGACCGTGGCTGAATTACGATGGCGGGCGTGTTTGAATTCCCGACCGCCGATAACAATTTTGCAATCGGCTGTTCGAGCTCTTTTCCATCGGGCCGATTGTAATGCGCGAATAAATTATGTGATACAAATGATGCCCGGCAACCAGCCGACCGTAATTACTCAACGCTATTTGCCGGGGAGCCGACCGGCGGCGGCGTTGATTTGTCAGAAACCGGCCGGAATTTCGGACGAACGATTTTTATTGCGTGATAAACTGAACGGGAGCAGGTCATTTATTTCTGATCCTTAAAATCAATTGTTACTGTTGGCATAGATTGTGTAGTTACCGTAGTTACATTATCTTCGTATGTACATGTTGTATACGTTCCAGCGTGTATGAAAGCGTAAAAACAAATGAAATAACTGTCAATCCAATGCATGTTTCATGGTTTCCTTAAATAAGACGAAAAATGAGGGAGAATATAATTCGTACGAATAAAAATATATTCAATTTTATGGAAAGCTAATTAAGTAAGGTTATTATTCACTGAGATATTTACGAACGGCATCGACTGATTGAGAAAATGTCTTTTAATTGATTTTATAAGAACTCAAAGAAATGGTAATGATCATTGAATACTTTTACCAATTGTTATATCAGTTCGTATGTTGATGCAACAAAGATATACAACAATGAAAAAATATTTTCATTTGATATAAATAAATCGTTTCTGTTAATTATAAACCATATTTATATATCCTGTGTGTTCCTTCTAGCTTAGAAGGAATCGTAAAACCGCGAAATTAACTTCGAAACGTCGTACAAAGTTCAATTACGTGTTCATGGCTGGTACGTATGAAGGATTCAATCAGGTTCTATTTACGATTTGCTTTGACAAATTAATTGGATCAGGAATTAAAAGAGTATCGCACGATTTCTGTGAGTCGCCTAATTTGGTCGCCATTCCACCGATATAAATTGTATCGCGAACTGTAAAGAGAGAGAGAGAGAGAGAGAGAGAGATCGTTTTACCGGCTGCTTCACTTGTACTACTGCCAGAGTTTAATTCGATCCGCTGTTCCACCTCCGAGTGATACGCCCGACGTCAAATTCCGAACGGGACGACAGGTGTGGAGAAAACACTCAGGACTCTTTATTAAATTTTCGTCGACACACGGATACGAATTGCTTTTAGCTTCTCTGTCTGAGTCGAAATTATTATTAAGCTTTTTTATCCGGGACCGTGAGAAGAAAGACCAACCGTCGACAGTGTTATCTCGTGTAGTCGAGTTATGCTCGTCGTCGAAACGCGATGATCGAGCGGAGGTAAAAAATATGCAACAGATTTCGAAAATAATTCAACGGCTGCGCTGAAAATTCTCTCGCTCCCTTATTCCGCACTGTTACGAACGATTTTGCAAATTCTTGAATGGCACGTGACCATATAGGCGAAACGATAAAAAAAAAGGGACAATGCTCGCAATCGATGAAGCTATTGTAAGAGCTGACGTAACCATCTACCGACCAGCCTTTTGCGAAATCGCCCGCATAAGCGAAAACCAGCTCCCCTCTGCTATCAAGCGAAATTTTGCAAAATTCTGGTCCTTTGAGCCTTGCGGTGATCACCGTTTGTTCCACCTTATCGTGTTTCGATACATTCAGCTTGATCGTCGATTACGATCTCCGATTCTAGATCATTGTTTGCCGGTCCAGAATTCTAGTACCTCCGATGGCAGAATTTTTTAACCATCGGATGATTAAAGGTTTAGTGGTCGGACAAAGGCCGAAGCTGGGTTATATCGTATCCAAAACAAAATTTCATTATTTACGTATCAAAAAATCATTTTTTTGCCAGATTTGTATTTAAATCCATTGGGTTACATGTTGTCAGTAACTTGTTTTCTAAAAAAACGACATTATATTATAGTGAATAGCAAAGAAAGCAACAGATACACTAATTTTATTACGAAAAATTTATTATATATAAAAAGTACAGTATACAGTAAATTCTCCACAGAAGGCCCGGAACGATGATTGGCGGACACTCAGTCCGCCATTCTTCAAGCCTCGCGGCTCGTTTTAATAGTTGGCGATATCTGGTGTGTGTGTGTGTGTGTGTGTGTGTGTGTGTGTGTGTGTGTGTGTGTGTGTGTGTGTGTGTGTGTGTGTGAGGGAGGGAGAGAGAAAACGAAACTCGGGACAGTCGCAAAAAAAGAGCAGCGGCCAGCATGCCGGTGTACGTCAATATGAATACATACATAGTAATGGTAGAATATAAGCGATGATTTAACTTTTCTATTTCTAATTTCTTATACACGAAATGTTTTTCAATATATTGGTCAGATTCTTCCAATTAAAATTAATTTATTCATTATACGTAGCAAGTAACTTATTTTATTTCATTGTACAAATTGTAATTATAACAAAAAAAGCATTAGGAAAGTATTAAAGGCAACGTCAAAGAAGGTATGCTATTCGGGCCTCGATTCGAAGACAATTCCCTTAACCCTCAACGGTCGTTGCGGTTGTTGACACCTTGTAACTCCGCGGGTTTACTTATCTGATTCATACCAAAACAGCCATTTTGTGTTGTCTTCCAAGAATTCGAGTCAATGCAGCTGCATCGCGTACCGCATCACACGCTCGACCGACTCTGTCGAACCTTAGCATCGACGTAGCAATAAATCACATAGGCTTAGGACTAGCATAGGGAAATCCACAGCAATCCGAAATTTGGCATTCTAGGGAGAATTTACTGTATTATGCAACTGGTACAAGATCGTTGAACGGTCAACTCAAAGATGTGATCATATGGTACGTATTTATCGATCTAATTGTAGTGTAATCCACACATTTAATACCTCAAGGAAATACAATGTATTTATTATGTACACTACAACTGTAACCGAGATGCATATCTGAAACCAATAATCGAAAAATAATAGTTTTAGAACCGACATAACATCGGTTCTGAAGAATCTAAACCGAACCTGGTATAAGCCAGAACCGATACACCATACAACATACATAAGATCTTTTCGGTTCTTCATAACTGTTTCAGTCCAAACCGATACATAAGAATTTGAAACGTTTATTTTCGAAATCTTTTCAATCCCTACGCACACTGCAACGCTGACAAACATTGATACGAAATTGCAAATTCAACATGCATAGTCATCGATGAATGTATGCATGTTCTGAATTGATGTAGAAGAAAGAAAATAGGGAACTGCCGATCCAACGGTTCCTCTATCTCTTTATCCGGAGCTTTCTAGATCATCTTGCGAAGATGCTTCGAACAATCATAAATCACAAAAGAATGGGTGGCTGACAAAGGTGTTGAGCAAGGGGCAGGGGAAACGAGGGTGTAGATAGATAAAAGGGAGAGAAAGGGAAGGATGCTCAAAGGGTGGAAAGGGGTGAGCGTCGCTTCCGCCACCATCTCCCTTCTTCGAACTTTTTTCATCGTTCGTATCAGCATCGGCTTTCTCTTTATCTTGGTGTGATTAAGACGTTTCTACGGTCGCCGCGAGTTATTGTCGAATAAAGTGGCGCGATTAGGCCGGATTGCGCGGAATGGAGTGGAAACTCGAAGCGTTATCGTTTTCGTTTTACGAGTCCTATCCCCGTAAAAAGAATCTGTCATTTCTGCTGAAAGCCATTGAAAATTGCCTGCTGATAATTATAAACGTTTTTTATCACGTCTTTGCAATCGTTATTAATTGAATTACCGAGGCAGAAAAATTTGAAACCATGTGTACAAAATAGATTTCTACTTGAGAGTATTTCAAGATAAAGATAGGTCAAATTACTGCAAAATGGAATACAAAAAATTGGTCTTATCTATCCTTGTCTTCATGTTATAACTCTGGCATTGTGTAAAACATGTAACAAATAAAGAACATTTAACAATGTACAACCTTAATGTAAGCACTCTCTTGTAGCGGT